AAAAAAAAAAAAAAACTCAGGGGAGAAAAAACAAAAACCCAACCATTTGTTCCATGCATTATCTGTAAATGTCAAAAGGCATCCATTTGTGAGTACAGTGGGGTTCGTGTTCTGTGCTGGTCCAGGGAGGCGCTCGTAGCTAGCATACTTCCTCACACGTGCTCTGGGGCTGACAGATCATCTCTATACCCTGACCTTGGCCCCCGTGTACCCCCAGGTCGGCTTCTTCAAGCGGAACCGGCCACCCCTGGAAGAAGATGATGAAGAGGGGGAGTGATGGTGCAGCCTATACTGTTCTAGCAGGAGGGTTGGGCATGCTACCTGCACCACCCCTTCTCCAATGAGTTGCCTCCAAGCTTTGGGTTGGAGCTGTTCCATGGGGTCCTCTTGGTGTCATTTCTCTCCCAACAGAGCTGGGTCACCCCCTCCTGCTGCCTAATAAAGAGACTGAGCCCTGATGCTGAGCATGCTGCCTCCTTTTGGGGCCAGAGGAGAGAGGACCAAAGAAATGTTTTGGACAGGGACCTAGGGCTGGTGGAAGTGTGAACAGAGAAGGTCTCTGCCAGGGCAAAGTGTGCAAATCACTGTCTTTGGGGAGTGTCAGGGAGTGCAGAGTTGGGGTGGCAGGTATAAGAAAAGAGGGAGAGCCAGGCGCAGTGGCTCCTGCCTGTAATCCCACTAGTTTGGGAGGCCGAGGTGGGCGGATCACCTGAGGTTGAGAGTTCGAGACCAGCCTTACCAACATGGAGAAACCCCATCTCTACTAAAAATATGAAATAAGCTGGGCCTGGTGGCGCATGCCTGTAATCCCAGCTAGTTGGGAGGCTGAGGCAGGAGAATCGCTTGAATATAGGAGGCAGAGTTTGCAGTGAGCCAAGATTGCGCCATTGTACTCCAGCCTGGGCAACAAGAGCGAAACTCTAGTCTCAAAGGGAAAAAAAAAAAAAAAAAGGAGAAAGGGTGGCAGGGCCTGAAGGAAGACTGGAGAGGGATGAACATGTCTAAGGGCAGGATGGGATGGGAGGGCAGGTGATGGGGTGGCAGCATCAGAGAAGGCAGGCTGTGTCCTTGGTGGGCAGCTTTATTTATTTAATTTATATTTTATTTTTGAGACAGAATCTTACACCTGTCTCTTATACACATCTAGATGTGTATAAGAGACAGGTGATGGGGTGGCAGCATCAGAGAAGGCAGGCTGTGTCCTTGGTGGGCAGCTTTATTTATTTAATTTATATTTTATTTTTGAGACAGAATCTTACTCTTGCCCAAGCTGGAGTGCAATGGCATAATCTTGGCTCACTGCAACCTTCGCCTCAGAGGTTCAAGCAATTCTCCTGCCTCTGCCTCCTGAGTAGCTGGGACTACAGGAGCACACCACCACAGCTGGTTAATTTTCATATTTTTAGTAGAGAATGGATTTCACCATGTTGGTCAGGCTGGTCTTGAACTCCTGGCCTCAGGTGATCCACCACCTTGGCCTCCCAAAGTGCTGGGATTATAGGCGTGAACCACGGCGCCCAGCCAGGGCAGCTTTAAATAGCATATTTGTTACAATTTTGGAAGGGTAAACTTCACAGTGACCTGAGGTGTGGAAAAACAACATGCTCTCCCTGCCTTTCTATCAAAAAAGGCCTTTAAAGCTGTTTGGAGTGAGAAGGGGCAGAGGGAGGCTGGCTCAGCTGTTGCCTGAGGAAGGCAGCATCATGCCAGGGAAGAGAGAGCGAGCATTGCTCCCTGGCTACCCACCAAGAAGAGCCTTTAGCCAGGAAAGAAGATGAGGATGGAAGACAGCTCTCCAGCTGTGGTGAGTACAGCTGAGAGGCAGAGGTAGGGAGGTCTCCCTGGAGTCCTGAGGGATTTGTTCATTCCTGGGTTCAATAAATATTTATTGGTCAGGCATGGTGGCTCATGCCTGTAATCCTAGCACTTTGGGAGGCTGAGGCAGGAGGATCACTTGAGCCCAGGAGTTTTGGGCTACAGTGAGCTATGATCGTGCCACTGCACTCCAGCCTGAGCAACAGAGAAAGACTCTGTCTCTGAAAAAATAAAAATTGACCGGGTGAGGTGGCTCACGCCTGTAATCCCAGCACTTTGGGGGAGGCCGAGGTGGGCAGATCACCTGAGGTGAGGAGTTCAAGACCAGCCTGGCCAACATGGTGAAACCTCGTCTGTACTAAAAATGCAAAAAAATTAGCTGGCCATGGTAGCAGGCGCCTGTAATCCCAGCTACTTGGGAGGCTGAGGCTGGAGAATCACTTGAACCTGGGAGGCAGAGGTTGCAGTGAGCCGAGATTGTGCCATTACACTCCAGCCTGGGCAACAAAAGCCAAACTCCATCTCAAAAATAAAAATGAAAATAAAAATTGCTAGCTAGGTGTGGTGGTATGTGCCTGTAGACCCAGGTACTCAGGAGACTGAGGCAGGAGGATTGCTTGAGCCCGGGAGGCCAAGGCTACAGTGAGCCTTGATCTCACCATTACACTCCAGCCTGGGTGACAGACTGAGACCCTGGCTAAAAAAAAATTTTTTAATTAAAAATAAAAATAAATAATCATGGAGAACCTACTGCATGCCTGGCACTATTCCAGTGCTGGGATGCAGCAGTGAACAAAGCAATGTCCCTGCCCTCCTGGAACTTACATTGCAGAGGTAAAAAGTAAAGTAAACAAATAAATAAATGTATGGTCAGTGGCAGTCAGTGCTGTGAGTGAAAATAAAGGTGACGAGAGAGTGATAGATTGTATGTGGGTGGACCAGGTGTGGTGGCTCAGACCTGTAATCCAGCATTTGGGAGGTTGAGGCGGGCAGATCACCTCAGGTCAGGAGTTGGAGAACAACCTGGCCAACATGGAGAAACCCTGTCTCTACTAAAAATACAAAAATTAGCCAGGCATGATGGTGGACACCTGTAATCCCAGCTACTCAGGAGGCTGAGGCAGGAGAATCACCTGAACCCAGGAGGCATACTCCAGCCTGGCAACAGAGCGACACTCCATCTCAAAAAATATATATATATATATCCACCCAGCCTCCCAACTAGCTGGGTGGATGTTTGGAGGGGTGCTGCTAACATTTTAGGTAGGGTGGTCAGGGAAGGCCTCTCTGATGAGCTAAGCAGGGAGATGAATGACTGAGCCATGCAGCTACATGAAGATAAAATGTTCTGGAAAGAAAGAGCAGCCAGTGAAAAGGCCCTGAGGTAGGAGCTGGCTTAGTGTGTTCAAAAAAAGCAAGGAGGCCCATGTGGCTGGAGGCAGGTGGGTGAGGGTCCAGGAGATGGGGGATGGGGGCAGGAACACCCCGTGGCCATGGGGAGGACTTTGGACTTGACGCCAAGTGTTGGGGGAAGCCATTGATGAACAATACAACAGCAAAAGCTGTTGGTATTTGATTTTACCCAAAGGTGTAAATAGTAAATTCTGAAAAGAATATTTTGACATACATGCATGGCAAGTTTCGGAACAGGTTTCTATTTGGGTGACTGAACGCATTTAAGAAAAGATTAAGCAGTGATCCTTGAACACCAGCCAAATTGCCTCCTCCTTCCATCATTGCAATTGGATGGCTCCAGTCAACTTATCTTGATCCAGCAAAGCATTTGGCATTTGTCCTTATAGATAAGACATAAATGTGAGCTGGATCATAGAGACTCGGATTTAGACCTGAACAATTCTGATAAAGCTGAAGGAGATCTCTATGAAGCTCCGTCCTGGCCCTGGGCTGCCTGGCATTGTCATGAGTCGCTTGACTGGAGGCAGAGGAAGCCACTCTTCACCCTGCAGATGGCTGCTGGCTGGGAGGGAGCTCCAATACAATGGGTAACTGAAGCAGATTCAAGGCAGCCTTGACAGATTGCAAAATTGGGTAGAAACCAACAGGATGAAATTCACCAGGGATGAGTGCTAAGTCTTGTGCTGAGGTTCCAAAAAACTAGTTACATAAGAATAGTACTGGGAAATCTGGTGAGATGGAAATTTCTGTTGAAAAGAGAGAGAGAGGCTGGGCGCGGTGGCCCATGCCTGTAATCCCAGCCCTTTGGGAGGCCGAGGCGGGTGGATCACAAGATCAGGAGATCGAGACCATCCTGACTAACACGGTGAAACCCTGTCTCTACTAAAAATACAAAAAAATTAGCCGGGCGTGGTGGCGGGAGCCTGTAGTCCCAGCTACTCGGGAGGCTGAGGCAGGAGAATGGCGTGAACCCAGGAGGTGGAGGTTGCAGTGAGCTGAGATCGCAGCCACTGCACTCCAGCCTGGGCAACAGAACAAGACTCTGTCTCAAAAAAAAAAAAAAAAAAGAAAGAAAGAAAGAAAAGAAAAGAAAAGAGAGAGAGAGAGAGATGAAAAGAAGAAGGAAGGGAGAAAGAAAAGAGACAGATACACTGGCAGTTTTCATTCTGTCCACAAGCTTATAATGATGTCCCCTTAAATCAGAAGACCCAACCAGGAGGGAAGCCTGCTGTTCTCTGGGAAATGGGGTCCTTGCCTTAGGTATCCAGTCCCTTAGGCTTGGCCACCACACGGTGAGAAAGAGAAGGTGACAAACCGGAGAGAACCAGGGAAGAGATACCAGATAAGGATTTGGCCAGCTGGAAACTGATTGATGATGACAACCAGAAATATTGAACTGGAAGGAAAGAGAGCTTGGCTGGGACTAGGGCAAGCCAATAGCTGTCCTCAAATACAGGATTCAATGGCTGAGGACAAAGGAGAGACCCAGTGTATCATTCACAAAGCCAGAACCAAGACCACTGAGAATCACCAACTGGTGGAAGAGAAAGGCTGCTGCCAGCTCTGGAAACACTCCTTAGCCATTAGCACTGCCCAGCAATGCGTCATATTACCTGGGCACAGGTGAGTCCCCACCTCACCCTGGGTCAGCAATAGCAGCATTTATTACGCCCCTGCTCCTGTGAGGCTTGTGCTAGAGTCTTTACATCATTATTTGGTCATTACATCTCATTTAGTCATTACAGCAACCCTATGAGGCAGAGATTATGACGACTCCCATTTTAAAGGAAGACAGGACCAGAAGGCTGAGTAACTTGCCAGTGGCTTAATAAGAGACTTAGGGCTAGGCACGGTGGCTCACACCTGTAATCCCAGCACTTTGGGAGGCTGAGCGGGAGGATCACCTGAGGTCACAAGTTCAAGACCAGCCTGGCCAACACAGTGAAACCCCATCTCTACTAAAAATACAAAAATTAGCCGGGCATGGTGGCAGGCATCTGTAATTCCAGCTACTCAGGAGGCTGAGGCACAAGAATCTCTTGAACTCAGGAAGCGGAGGTTGCAGTGAGCTGAGATTGCATCATTGCACTCCAGCCTGGGCGATAGCAAAAGACTCTTAATGATCAGTAGCTGCAACACTAGAAAGATTTTTCTTTGCAAGAGCAAAGAAAAATCCCTTTGGTTCTAGAAAATCTCCTGAAAAAGAGGAAGGCTTATGAAGCCCTCAAAGCCACCCAGGCAAAGCAGGCACTTTTGTCAAAGAAGGAGCAGAGGGAAGGAAAAGGGCTCAAGTTTAAGCAACTGGAATCATTCCTACATGATTCCTAGCAGCAGAAATGTGACAAAATGCATCTCAGACGACTAGAAGTCAAATGTCACGCCTTGGAATTGCCAGATAAACATTCCTTGACCTTTGTTGTATGCATCGAAAGAATTGATGGCGTGAGTTTATTGGTGCAGAGAACCATTTGTAAGACTTTGCCTAAATAACATTTTTAGTGGTGTCTTTGTAAATGTCACCCCCCAGAACCTAAAAATGCTGCGTATAGTGGAACCTTATGTGACCTGGGGATTTCCAAATCAGAAGTCTGTCCAGGAACTCATTTTGAAACACGGACAAGCCAAGGTCAAGAATAAGATCATCCCTCTGACAGACAACACAGTGATTGGAGAGCACCTGGGGAAGTTTGGTGTCATTTGCTTGGAAGACCTCATTCATGAAATTGCCTTCCCAGGGAAGCATTTCCAGGAGATCTCATGGTTCTTGCGCCCTTTCCACCTCTCAGTGGCCCATCATGCTACCAAAAATAGAGTGGGCTTCCTCAATGAGATGGGCACACCTGGCTATCGGGGTGAATGCATCAGTCAGCTCATCTGCCAGCTGAACTAGACCCAGGTGCCAAACTGCAGTAAATTTTTATCAGTGAAGTGGAAGCACGTGTAGTAGAAGCATGTGTTTTTGTTTTTATGGGAATTTTTATCAAGTATCTTCAGAGAAGATTATTTCCAGCTTTATCTTCAAAAACTGGAAAGGAAAGGTCAAAGAAAAGACAGTAGCTCACACCTGTAATCCCAGCACTTTGAGAGGCCGAGGTGGGTAGATCACCTGAGGTCAGGAGTTCGAGACCAGCCTGGCCAACATAGTGAAACACTGTCTCTACTAAAAATATAAAACTTAGCTGGGCATGGTGGCACGCACCTGTAGTCCCAGCTACTTGGGAGGGTGAGGCATAAGAATCACTTGAACCTGGGAGGCAGAGGGTGCAGTGAGCCAAGACCTCACCACTGCACTCCAGCCTGGGCAAAAGAGCAAGACTCTTGTAAAAAAAATAAATAAAATAAATAAATAAAGAAAGAAAGAAAGAAGAAGAAGAAAAAGAAGAAGAAGGAGGAGGAGGAAGAAGAAGAAGAAGAAGAAGAAGAAGAAGACGACACTAGCCTATGTTCATGGCAAGCACCTCTCATCACAGTCCAGTTCCAAGGAAAAATTCCAGCATTTTCTACATTGGCTGCCACCTCATCTAAAATCAGCACATTCCATGGGCATCTTCTATCCTAGAGTTTAGTGTTGGTAAATGAGTAACTCTAGCATTTGTACAGGGCTCCCCAAGACTCCTGCACCAGTCGACCAAGCCCAGGGACATAATTGAATCTGGAGATTCCTGGGGCCTTGTTTTGAAAAAAGACTTGAAATAGTAAGAAAGGCCCAAAAATAAATCTTCACTTGTCCCTGAAAAAAAAAAAAAAAATTCTGTCTCACAAACAAAAAAGAGACTTAGGGGTGTCTAGGGGGCCTTCCCTGCCCCAGCACTGCCTAGGTGTTTTGCCGGGAGAAGGGGGTCATCGAGCAGGGAGTTCTTACACTTTTCTGAGACTTTCATGACCGTACCCCTTGAGAGTGTTGTAAGCAATAGCCACTCCCAACCTACACACAAAAAAATTCTGCACTAATTTTGGGTACTCTCAAAACCCAAGAACCCGGGTGATGGGACCCTAATCCCGACACTCCTTTGCAGCACAGAGTCTGGGAGCGCAGAGCAGGGGCTGCGGGGTGGGCTGAAGGTGGGCAGTACTGGGGGGAGGCGGGCGGAG